CACTTTCATAACGCGGATGCAGGTAGGCAGCGTCTCGAATATATTGCTCTAGCCATATAATACCGAAACCACAAGCCTACTGTAGCTCTATCTCTATCGGTGGGAGGTAAAAACTCTGTGCTTCCCGTCGTCAAACGCGCCAAGCAAAGGCATACGAGAGGACCACAATCCCCTCTGGCTCCCGGCGATTGCTGTGGCACGGTCTCGTCTCTGACAACTGTGACATTGAACTCTTTGGCTTCTTGTGTCCAGAATGACTCCAATACTTAATCCCATCCAAGAATTTAGCCAAATGAGAGCTCCATCCCTTGAAAATATCTCTCAAATCAGACAGTGATATGTAATTGATCATGCTGTCATACACTATTATCTTCAGGGATGGGAGCTGAAGTTGGACGAGAAGCCAGTGACAACGTTCCAAAACAGGGATAAACACCTGCGATCATAAGTAATAATTCATTTATTTGCGCACTTATTTATTAACACCTTTAAAAAATTTAAAAAATTAACACTAACCTTATCGACCTCCCACCATGCAGGATAAAGTTTAGCTTGTCCATTGCCTAACAAAAATGATTCATCTCGTTGATTCTTCAAGTGAACTGCGTGAAAAGCCGTCGATATTATTGTATATAGCGAATTTTTTTTATTTTTCCTAAGCTTCCTTATTATTAGTAGACGTGACACCCACGCATCGATATGCTGTTTTACAAAAAAATACATATATTAGTGAATTACATTAATTTTTAAACAAATTAATCAAAATCATATATAAGACAAATATAGTCTTACCTCCCCATCCAAATAGCCACTGTCTTCAACCCCTAATAGCACACCCCACCAAGACCGATCAAGCAACAAAAACATTTCATCGTTGAGTTTGCTGATGTCAGTGTAACACCCTTGGCTCCGCTCATGTAGATAAAAATCAACTGCGGTCTTAGCCCAAAGGGTATTATCCACAATTGTTTCCGGTAGTTGTCTCCTCTCCACTTCAGATACCGGAAGGGTACTAGCCGGTAACTCATACGAGAGCCAACTCTCATCCATCATGTCCGGAACCGGTGGGGGTTTCTCAATACTTCGATATATTACCCCATGTGAATCGGGCTCTGGAATGGTGGGAGGGACCTCTTCAACGATGACAGTGGCCTCTTGAACGGTGGGGGGGGAATCTTGAGGGAGAATAGGGGCCTCTTGAACGATTGGAGGGGACTCTTGAGGGATGACCGGTGAGTCGGGCTTCTTCTTGCGGAGTCTTCGCACCATTGGGGTGAACGGAGACGTAATAGCACGTCCACGCCGTCTGATGCGTGAACTCCATCGTGCAAGGAAAACCCGACGTAAAGCATCCACCTTATCGGGCCGCTAAAAAAATTAATACATAAATCAGTAAATAAACAGACATGATATTAAACAAAGACAAATATGTTTCAAACTAGCATTGTATTCACCCAAATCATTATTCTATCATAGTTCACAAAATGCTCAGATAACATTCCAGAAGTAAGCACTTATATAAACATTTAAAAGGACAACATATATAAATATTCCAGAAGAAGAATAGTTTACTTTCGCAACACGAAACTTAAAATCGCAACGCGAAATGACTATCGTAACGCAGAAATGGCTATCGCAATGCGAAATGAAAATCGCAACGACAAAATCGCAACACGAAATGAAATCGCAACGACAAAATCGCAACGCGAAACACAAATCGCATTGCGATTTTCATTTCGCGTTGCGATTTTGTCGTTGCGATTTCATTTCGCATTGCGATTTTGTCATTGCGATTTTCATTTCGCATTGCGATAGCCATTTTCGCGTTGCGATAGTCATTTTCGTGTTGCGAAAGTAAACTATTCTTCTTCTGCAAATTGAAACTTGAATGGATTGCATTACTTCAACCAAAAGACAAAAACAAAACCAAAAACAAATACTAACAAAAACAGATTGGCAGCAACCGAATGAATTACGAGTATGAAAAATCTTAAACTTACCTCGTTGCGTAGAGTATGAACCTCATTTTGCAACGATGCTACCATCTCACGTAGAGCGGCTACCTCACCGCGTAATGTAGACACCTCAACACGCCATGCACCATCGGCTTTGCGTAAAGTACCGACCTCCTCACGCAAGGCATTGACCTCATCACGTAACTCCCCTAACTCATCCCGTTGAGGTGGAGGTGGAGAACAGGGAGATAAACGTCGTGGCATCTTTGCCGGTCGCCTATCTTGTGGTGATGGTGGAGAAGAGGCTCGATGATGTGACAGAATAGGTGATGCTGTCGTTGTGGAGGTGTATAGCCGGGTCGATCAGATGATGGCTCTGGGTGAGGTGATAGCTCTGGGCGAGGTGATGGCTCCCGAAGTGGAGGCTGCTCATCAACCGTTCCATCAAAAAAACGCTTACTAGCTTGCCACCAATCAGTGGCAAGCTCAGCTTCCGTGGGTGTCAGCCTCTGTAGAGGAGTGTTGGCCTCCTAACAATATAAAAGCTCAAACAAAGTTAAATGTGTACTAATAATAACTTGTTTATAAACATATGGTAGTATTTATGTTAACTTACATTATTTATTATCGTATACCGTAGTAAATCTTCCCATTGCAAGGTTCGTTTCCTCTTCCAGGAAATAGCCCTGGGAATATTATTTGAAGTTTTTATTGCATATGTCTTCATGGCGGGAAAGGCCTCAAATATCCAAATCTACAAACAATGTAATAACAAACATTAGTAATTGTTAAATAATTACTTATAATTTTGGAAACATTATATAAAAAATTTTACCTTAAAGGCCCAAATAAAGCCTGTCAAAGTGTATTTGGAACCATCGCCATGCAAACTTTTTCGATCATCCAAGGCAGACGATAACTTATTCCATGTAGCTTTCCATAAATACGAGCCCCACGGAAACAGGTTCCACGCATTTAGGTCTTCTACCAATTTGATTAGATCATTTGGAATAGGTTGTCTGGCCTCTCTGCCTAAAAAACCGGCATGCAAAAGAATTAGAAGGCATACTCGGACAACGTCGACGTCATCCATCCGAGTAAAACCATCTTTATTATTCAAAAATCTTGTCAGGTCTTCTACGTGTAGACTCGGCCTCTCCAGCTCAGGAAAAACCCGGGATAGCCATGATGGGCGGGTAATGTGTCTAGTGTACCGACCTACATCATCGTGTCCGAAGCGTAGACCGGTGATTAAGCAAAACTCCTCCCGCCCAAAACACGTATACGCCGGTGGAAAATCAAACCATATCTCTTCATCACGACGTTGTATAGTCTCTGGTAGATCTCTAGTCATGGTTTGAAGAAACAGGTGTGTCAACATCGCATCTCCACCGGGATGTTGTACTTTCAGCCATGGCCCGAAGCATGTATCCTCAAACATTTTTCTTTGTGCAGGTGAAAGCTTCGACGCAATTGTTTTGGCCAGGCTGACTTTATTTCTCAAGGTCAATTGAGCCGAATAAAAGTTCTACAAAACAATAAACATACTAAATTAGATATACCAAAAACTACACTGTGAAGATATACCAAAAACAATAATAAACATAAATAGTAGTAGTTTATTCTTCAAACTTAAATATGCAACACTGTGAATTTCGTATTTGTCTTTGTTTTTTGGTTGAAGTAATGCAATTCATTCAAGTTTCAATTTGCAGAAGAAGAATAGTTTCTGAAAATGAAAATCGCAACACGAAAATGACTATCGCAACGAGAGAATCGCAACGCGAAACTAAAATCGCGTTGCGATTTGCATTTCGCGTTGCGATTCTTGGTTGATTTAATAAGCAATCTAAGTGAAATGGTTAATCTATTATTGAAATTACCAGTAAACTTATCATCAATTTCAATATGAAAAACCTAATAATAATGCAAAAATTTCAAAAACAAAATAATTAAAAAAACTAACCCTCGTTGGTTGATTTGGTTGATTTTCCATTTCTGATTGTGAGGGTGGCTCTGAGAGATTTAGATAGACGGATTTCGCCGGAGATGGGGACGGATTTCGTCGGAGATGGGTGAGAGAGTGAGAGATGGAGATGTGACTGAGTTGTGATTTTAGGTTTTAGGTTATGAGTTGCGATTACGGGATATACTGTGGACAGTTCAGTGTTCCAATATATTAATATTCATATTTAGAATTTAAAAATAAAATACTTGGCCAGGATATTAATGGCGCTTTGAAAATCGCATTGCGATTATGTATTATCGCGTTGCGAAAGTCAGTATCGCGTTGCGAAAGTAAGTATCTCGTTGCGATTTTTTATTATCGCATTGCGATTTTCCCAATTCGCGTTGCGATTTACTTATTCGCATTGCGATTTTCCCAATTCGCGTTGCGATTTACTTATTCGCATTGCGAATTGGGAAAATCGCAACGATACTGTAGACCATCGCAACGCGATTTTCAACTATCGCATTGCGAAAATGCAACGCGAATTTGCGATAATGGAGATCGCGTTGCGAATTAGCGATCGCATTGCGATTTTGTTGGTCATTTTGGCAAATCTGGAAAAAGTTGGTTAAAATCGTATATTATATGGGATTTTTGGTCACTGAGGTTATTTTCTCATTAAATTAAACAAAAATTGAATAATTCATTATATATATCGTTAGTGAAAGAGATTGGCCAAATTTGATGAGATTATACTAATGGACATTATTAATTTATTAACTTGCCAGGTCATTATCGTATAATAATAATAATAATAAATATTTTAATTTTGGATAATGGATGTCCTTTTTTCCCATATATATATATGGGGTAAGGGGAGGTAAGATAGTAGGCTACCCCTAACACCAGGTTGAGAGCAGCTTCCGTAAGAGACCTCCGAATTGTGAAATACCCTCCGTGGGACTCGATCCCACGACCTCAAGATTAAGAACCTTGTGCTCTACCAACTGAGCTGGATGATCATTTATTTGGATAAGATTAATTTAATTTCTTTAAAATAAACCAAGCAGAAAATGTGCACTCGTTCTCTACGGTGCCGTTTCCCAAATCCCTTAATCCAACGGCCCAAAAAATTTCGATCAAATTCGGCGTATTCTCTCTCTCTCTCTCTCTTTCTCTTTCAAGCACTATTAATCAATTGATCACTTTACACGGATCTTCAAAAGCTAAGAACTTTCCCCTTTCTGGGTTTACGCTTGTTCTTTTTGGTGGATTGATCGAAACATCTCATTCATTTTTCACTTTCCATCTTTGTATGTTGTTTATGATATCGTCTTCTTAATTGAATTTTGCATTTTATGAATGGGTATTTGTTTAATTCCATTTTAAAAAATAAATTGGCATTGTAGTGATGAGTTTTCAATTAAATTTCCAAACTTTATTTGCTTTTTACATTTGGGGTTAATTGGACTAATAAATTTTGGATTCTTTTTCATGAATTTGATTCTTTGTGAGTAATGGTCTAATTCTTTAAGGGTTCTTCTCAGAATTATTAATATTTGATTAATTTTGCAAGTTCAATGAGCTCTTATATGTTCTTTTTTCATACTCTGAATGATGAGTTCAAGTTTGTATATTTTATGTATCTTTTTGGCCATTTAGATTAGATTCTGACTTGATTGTCGTTTGTCCAAGGTCAATGGCATCTTCTTCAGACCCATGGGTTAAAGAATACAATGAAGCAGTAAAAATTGCGGATGATATCAATGCCATGATATCTGAAAGGAGTTACTTGCCTGCATCGGGACCGGAAACTCAGCGTCATGCATCGGCTATAAGAAGGAAGATTACGATTTTAGGGACTAGACTTGATGGATTGCAGTCCCTTTTGTCTAGACCAGCTGTGAAGCCCCTGTAAGTCAACTCAGTCGAGGTGCATATAGGAGTGAATTGAGGTTCAATTAGTAATTTTGATCATATGTGATATTTATAAAGTCGGTAGGTCTGTGTTTGCTTGCAAAGTGAAGCATGTTTTATCATGAGCAAACTGGCTTTCAGCACTTGTTGATGTTTCGTGTTTTGGTTACAGAACAGAAAAGGAGATGAATCGTCGCAAGGATATGATTGCAAATTTAAGATCAAAAGCCAATCAGATGGCTTCTGCATTCAACATGTCAAACTTTGCTAATAGAGACAGCTTGTTGGGGCCAGAAATTAAGCCAGATGCCATGAGTAGAACAGCTGGTTTGGATAATTCCGGCCTTGTTGGTCTTCAACGACAAATAATGAAAGGCAAGTTATTTTAGTGCTAGCTTGTAAAATGGCTCGAGTTCCCTCAACTTATGAGGTTGTCATTTTTTAGCAGAGCAAGATGAGGATCTTGAGCAGTTGGAGGAGACTGTAGTAAGTACGAAGCATATTGCATTGGCTGTCAATGAAGAACTTGATATGCAAACCCGACTTATTGTATGTTTTCTGTTTATTTCTGCTTTTCTCTTTGGCTCTCATTTCTTTAAAAATGCTTCATGAGGTTTGATTCATCACCCATAACTACACATTATCCTTGCTTCCTCCATGCAGGACGACCTGGACTATCATGTGGATGTTACCGATTCTCGGCTGCGGGTAAACATTTAGTAATTAACACTTTTATTCTCTCAGCACTATATCCTCCTTTTTTGTTGAATGGAACAAAATTCAATTACTGTTTTTACTATATTTAATCTGGTCCACCTATTAGTTAATGGCATTCCCCTAAAGTTGAACGTGTCCTAGCGTTTCTCTAGAGAATGATGAACTAAGCCTTGAATCCATAGCATTGCTTCGAGGAGGAAGGAAATAATTCATGGTCATCTGAGCATTATTTAGAATAGAAGTTCTCTCAAGTTAACTAAGGATTAGTCATTGGTTATCGAATTTTATTTTATTTGAAATAATTTGGTTATAAGTAGTATTCTTTGGCAGTTTGATGAAGTAAAATAAAACAATCGATATGAAAATGTTGCTTTATTGTTTTACTTTTATATTGTTTGTGATAATTGATGCATTGGTGGTGTGAGAAAGAATGGACTATTTGAAATATTCCATGTCGAATGCGATGCACATATTTTCTTAGTGCCTGAATTCGAGAATAGTTAAAATATAGAACACTATTTGCCACTTACCACAATAGTTCGTGATTTTGCAAAGGGTGCTTGGTGCACTCTTGGCACTAGAATCCTTGTTGCGTTTAAGGCAATAGGTGTAAAAAATACCCTTCATCTCAGTGAAGGAAGGTGCAAAATGTTCACGTGTGGGGTTTTTTAGTGTTCTGTAGACGTGTTCGATAATATAAATATAAGTATGATAATAAACTCTAAAGAGTCTTCTAGTTCATCTGCAAAACATGAGCACATTTTGTTCCTTTTGTTAGGCTGTATGCATGATTTCCTTATGGTATCGTATTTTTTGTTGAATACTCAAATATTGAGTAAAGTCTGAAATTATCCTCTTTCTTACTAGGAAAGGTAAAAGGCTAATGAAAAAAAAGGTTGAACGCTAACTATTGCCTTGCCAAAAAGGGTGTCTTGGTGCATTAGGCACGCATGCCTCTGATCAAATGCTAACTTGTCTGATAATGTCTTCAGTGCCAATGTTCCTGGTGTTAAGGGGCATTTGTTGAAAACACTGTTAGTTGCCACAAAAAATGTAACTTGACTATCATGGTGGATTCTGATAAATACGTTTTTTGTTGGATCTGTCTTGTTCTTTAACAGAGGGTGCAGAAAAACCTTGCGATTTTGACCAAGCGAACCGGAGGAGGTTGTTCTTGTATGTGCATGCTTTTAGCTGTGATCGGGATTGTGATTCTGGTTGTTGCCATATATCTACTCATCAAATACTTGTAATACCAACGGACACTGAACCCACAAGCTCACCCTTTTGTCTTGTTTGTATGGGTAGAATTTGTTTTCAGCTTGAGAACTTTTTATCGGCTTCCCCCACATTTCTTCGTAATTTTCTTCGTGTGAAGTTATGTTACACGGACTCGGAGTGAGTGCTAGATGCAAGTATACATCTAATAAGGATATGCTCTTGTTTTTTTATAACTTTTTTCATATATTTTGGAGATGTGCATACCCTAAGGTGTCCTATACAAGTGTGGGACACGTATGGGACACATTTAAGAAAAATGAAGAGTTCGTGTAACAAGGTGTGATGTAGTTGTTGAGTGAGTTGCATTTGCAACTTCGTAAATTTATGAATAATTCAACTCTTATTTGCGTCTTTAAACCATTTATTATAATAATCTTTTCAATTCAGTTTGTTTTATTCGCAACGTCATAACAATTCATTTCACCTTTAAACCATTTATTATAATAATCTTGAAAAGAATGATAATAAGAAAGAAATGCACTTTCCATAATTATTTCATCAAAAACGACATAATGTCCGATGGAAACAACGCTACTATTTTATGAAATCAAACAAATGAGAAACAAATAGTGAAGTGCTAACATAATACCAATTCAAAGTTCACACTTTGAATAAGGATTACTTACAGAAACAACATGAGAAGACATGTAACATGACAACTAAATTCTCAGGCTAAATCCCACAATTCCGAATTGATTGTGTGAAGGATTTCACTCTCCTTCACTCAAAATGGGGACGATGAGTGGTTTCATTTGTGCAAGATATACAATTGCCCACCTGTCAAAGCAAAAGAATTAACACTAAAAACTAACAAGACAGAGAAAGAAAACCAGTTTACTTACAAAACTAGAGCTATGTATAAACAGCTACATAGATTAACTTCCTTGGAAGTTGGAATCATTGGTTAAAGGTGCATACCAATGCCGGGTTACTTTGACTCAAGTGAGAATGTCATGAGTGTCACTTTAAGGAAAATAAAAACTCAAAACAACATAGTACCAAACTACGTGTTCAATGTAGGACATACGCCATTTGTATGAATAGTTCACATGCACTCAAGACAGAGACAAGGTAAATGTTATAGAAGCAGATATTAAGTGCACATATCCGAGTGTGTCGAAGGCAGCAGAGTAAACCTTTTCAATGTTCGTTAAAATGAAAAAGTCAGGACTCCGGACTTTATCATCATCCAGGGCAACCTAATGAACTTATAAATTTAACTTATTCCGCAATCATTATAGCAACGACCATAGAAACTGGGCAGCATATTAAGGCACAAAAGAACTCAGCTTTCAACAAGGTGATATATTTGGTGAATTCACAGCTAACGAACAAGCTACATTAGGTATTATTCTCATTTTACGACAAGTTTTTTATATACACCTTCGAATTAGGTCTTTGTAAAGCCATTGATTCTTAATATATGTGCCGCTATGCAAATTCAGAATCCCAGGAAGAAAAAGTAGTTCCACGTTGCAGAAAGGATAGTCAGAAAAGGCAGTGGCATTCCATTCTTCATCTAAACCAAAATTTTAGGACAACATCGCCAAAAGAATCCCACAGATAATAATCATTGCATATTGAAGATCTCATATTTTAGTAATTTACAAACAAAATTCATATGAAAGTCAAATTGCTACAGAAGAAAGATAAAATGTAAAACAAGAATAGACTTACATCATCCAACAACAGACTGTTGCCGTAATGACCAGTGTTAGGTGGAGCCTGCGTAATAAAACAAAGAAAAACAGTTTTCCGATGAGAACAAGGAAAATCTAGGGAGAATTACTCTTATCTGGCAGGAAATAATAATTGAACAAAAGAAAACATCTTAGTAACTACTCTAAATGTAAAACCAGGCTATTCTATAGCAGAACATGGTAAATAACTAAAATTCATTCAAACCAGTTAGATCAATCTTTACCAAGGATCAGTAGCAAGGCACCCTTTAGGTCTCCTTATACTGCCCCCAAAGCACACAAGAAATAAAAAAATAAAAATCCTTGCACGAGGCATAAAATGTGAATTTTTGTAGGTGTCCACATTACTTATAAAAGAGATTACAATATAAAAATACGATAATTAACTCCAAAGAGTGAGCTAGTTTATCTACAAAACATGAAAAACTCTCTTTTCTTCATTGGCCAACAATATCCATGATTTCCTTATGATCCCATCTCTATGGTTGAATATCAAATATAAAGAAGTAAATTTATATTAGAAGAAATCAAAGAGAACTTCAATTAGGTGAGTTTTTTATTTTGGAAAATATTTCCTAACAGACATCTCAGCGCAGAGCGTGCGCCTGATCGGAGTAATGATCATGCCTGAAGAGGGTCAAGGCCTTTCTGTTGACTGAAACTAAGGATGCCTTGACAGCAGAGCCCAATGCAATGAGATATGATAAGGTTCATTCCGGATAAGAGTAAACAACCACAGCAACGAATTCAGCATTGGTTGCCAATTTTCTGTTCTTGCAAGTTATAATACCGAATTAAAGCATATTTTATTGAAGTATACCAATCAACAGATACCCTTTAAACTTAATTCTAACATATGAAATTTAAATCTAAAAAAGCCTAATAAAAAGAGCAAATTTAATTCTAAAAAGAGTGATTGTTGTTTAAAAGGACACTCACAGATTAGCAGAGGGACCTCTGTTACAGCAGATTCTGGTACAAAGCGATACGATTATCCCAATTAAAGCAAAAATTAGGGTTGTTATCAAGAAACCCATATTCCAGATGTCGATTTCACAAAAAACCTCCTGCAAAAACAAAAGGAAAATTTATTTTTTCCCCTTAAATTAACTTGGATTCCAGGCTGAAAAAAAAAAGCCAAAAACAAATATGGAGATAAGATATAATTCATAGGCTGAGAAACTAAAACCTTTTGTTTGGTATCAGAGAAAATGGAAGAAAATAACAGTGATTGTGATCTTAAGTTTGGATTTGTTGATCGGAAGGTACGCTCTGTAGAGGTTTTAGTTTTTAGTTTCGGATCTTCGAAAACCCGACTGTTCATCAATGACCCGTCTCTTTGAGCCCAAGCTTGAAGTAAATGGGACTCTATATTGGGCTAATATGGCTCAAATGGCTTAAAGTAGCTTTTAGATTTATTTATGGATCGGGTGATTTGTTTGGTTCGATCAGTTTAATTCGATTTAGATTATATTAATTTGAATATAAAAAATCAGGCTTTAGGTCAGTTCGATCGACCGTCTATATAATTAAAATATTTTAAAATATGCTATATTCAATTTTATTTAAAGAAAACATATAAATATTAATATTAATTATTAACATTTTTAATTTTTTTATCATTTCATGAAGAGTTTTGTTTTTAAATAATATGGTTATATTTTAATTTGATTTAACGACGGAAGGATGAGATCTAAAATAAAGAATTTAAAAGATTTTAATTTAGATTCATTAACATCGGAATATTTTTTTTAATTAAATTGACATTACATTTGAATTTAAAAGGTTTAAAAGGGGTTGTTAGAAAATTTTAGGTTCAACAACAATCGTTAATGTAATTTTTTTTTGTGCATTTGTCGACAAGAATACTTGGATCTATAGATTTTTAAATTAGGTTAGATAATTTGGGGGAGAATGTAGAATGAAGAAAGGGGAAAATGAAAGAAAAAAAAATTTATAGACCAATTGAACCAGGTAAATAGTATAATTTATTTCGAGTTAAATCATAGATTTTATTCTTAAAATTTAAAATTTATCTCGATTTTAAGTTTACATTTCACAAATATATCTTGAATTTGAATTTCAAAACTAATTTAACGTTATAAGATCGAATTGAATCAGAGTCTATTAATTTTTTTTAATGTGGAGTCTATTGAGTTTACATATTTTAATCATCCCTAATTGTACCGTATCATCAAATAAAAAGTTTTAAAATGCATTTTAATTTCCGGAGATGTTTTGTCATTTAGAGGATTAAAAAACAAAGTTTATGAACCAAAATGCAAAAGTTGAAAAATTAATGGATAAAATGTCGCTTTACATCTTTTACTGACGTGGCTAATCCTCATTGGTCTCATCCCTATCACCGCACCGTATTAAAATTACCAAAGACCCAAATCCTAGATTCAACTGAAAATTGAAAATCCCCAAATTCCTCATATCCGGTCCGATTTGAGTAAGCCGGTCGGTTCAGTTTAAATCACAAAACTCTCCCAAATAAACCATCTTTTTTAATCTTTAATGTCATTCGACGCTCTCAAAATCCCTTCTTCTTTCGATCCTAACTCTGATCCCTTCCTTTCACAAAGTAAAAATTATATTTTAAAATTTCTCTCTCTTTCCCACAATTTACCCGCCAAAAAGTTTCCCCCTTTTTTTGTTCTTTTAATTCTATAATTTAGCTACTTCCCATTCGATCTTTGTTTCTCCTTCCTTTCCTCTCTCTCGTTCTGTTTTCGGTCAGTCTCGTGAGTCTACAGACATTGGGTTTTGATTAATATTGTTTATAATGGACCCCGAGGTGGGTGTCGACGAAAAAGCTGCAGCGTTTGAGCCTTCTCCAGCGGTGGGGGGGAAGAGAGGGGTCGAGAACGGGGATGTTTATGTGTCGAAGAAGCAGCGTTGCAGTGGGGGATTAAAGAGGCTGGCGGAGATTGTGCTGGTGCTGTCGACGATGTGGAAGATGAGGGGAGGAGGGAGGAATCCCACGTCGGCTGAGACGGCTTTGATGGCAGAGGCGCGTGAGGCGTTGGCGGAGATGTGTGGGGAGATGACGCCTAAGGATATTGTTGGGCGGGAGGCGATAGGGAATGTGATTGAAGAGTTGGGGCTTAATTCCCATCTCAAAGAGCAGAGATTAGGGTTTAGGGGTATGGGAATGTCGATTTCTCAGAAGGTTTTATTTTCTAAAATGAAGGTAAAAACTTTTTGTTATTTTAATGAATTTATTGCATTAATTTTGTTTGTTTAATTGGTGAGGAATAATTGGTTTGGGGAAAGATTTTAATGTTAATTTTGGGGAATTAAGGATTATGTCTGAAGCTGTGAGAAGTTTCGTTTGGTTTAAATTGCTCATAAGATATTTATGAATGTTGTAGAATTCTTATGATATTCTGAATGTAATACTGATTTTTTGTGAAAAGTTCATGTTATTTAAATTACTTTGTAGTATATTGGAATTCGAGTGTTCGATTACCTTAATGCTTTTCAGATGGAAGAACCCAAGAAATTCACTACTCCTGCTACATATGCAACTCGGTCAGTGCAAACTAATGTTGGTGGATCCGCTGAAAACTGTGGCTCATTGCGTGCAGTTCGCATTTTACCATCAGATCGACCAATTCAAGCAACTGTGTCTCATGTTACCGCAGCAGGTTCAACTCTATTTCAGCATCAATTGCCCACCAGCGGCGTAAAAATTGCTACAATGTCCACTGGGCTACCGAGTGGCCATCTAGGAAATTCGTCTTCATTTGCATATCCCAGGGTTGACAGACCACAGATTAAATTGGATGGAGGATGGAACGTGGCTTCTTATGTTTCCCATGTACCAGGTAATTCTCTCTTTGACCAGGTCTCCGACCCTTGGTAGCTAAAAACTTGATGGACCTGTTTACATATCATTTGAAACTTTTTGGGAGAGATTAGATGATATGGTCTACTTAATTTTTACATGAGTGGGGCATGCTTCCTTGGCTTGAAATTGTGTTCTATGATGATTATGAAATGATCAATTCTATAGTCTAGCATCTTCATCCATGCATCATCTCTGAATGGATGTCAATATTGTGTGTTTCAGCTAACTCTTCAGCAAGCCATTCACTCGCCAATGCTCCCACTTGGTCTATGCAAGCTCAACCTGCAGTATTAGGTAAACCTGGGCAAGAGAACAAGGTTTTGGCTCATCATCCAACCAAGGTTGAAGGAAGTTCTGGTTCGACTATGGCACAGATGACTCCTCAAGCTGTGAGAGATCAAACCTTTAAACCATTCATTACTCAAACTGTAACTGGAGCTTTTCCAAGTGTGCACCAGCCCGTGCAAGGTGTGAACTTTACCCAAGCTCCTCCATTTAATAATAATCACACCGAAATTGCTAGAATTGTTCAGAAGTTGTTGCAACTGAAGCTTCCTGCACATCCTACCTGGACTTGTCCTTCTAGAGAGTATATGAATAAGGCCATGACTTGTCAAACATGCAAACTTGCCATTAATGAAGTGGAAAATGTGCTGCTTTGTGATGCATGTGAGAAAGGATTTCACTTAAAATGTTTGCAGTCAAAGGGAATCCCTAGGGGAGAGTGGCACTGTGCTAGATGCTTGTCATTTTGCAATGGGAAGCCTTTGCCCCCCAAATATGGTCGTGTCATGAGAAGTATCAATCTACCCAAAGTGCCATCTAGCTCAGTTGAAGTTCAGTCATCTTCAGAGAAGAAAGTGGAAAACCTGGGTCCAACGCTCAATCACGAGGTGACTGCAAATGGAAGCTCAGCATTGCAGACTCCTGTTGTGTCTGCTACAGTTGACGCCAACTCTGTTGAGTCAGCATCTGATTCTAAGGTTTCAAAAGGAAACTCAACAAAACCTTTGGATGCTGTATGTGATTCTCCTTTTGTTGGCACAGTAAATGAGAAACCTGAAGAGCATTCTCAAATTACTGAATCATCTAATCGCGAAGAAAAAAAAGATCATACAACATCGTCACAGCCTGCGGATACATCATCTAACACTATCAGCGACAAGGCTGATCATTCACAGGTTTCACATAGCAATCAAGATATCCTAACAAAGCATCAAAACTGTGCTGAAATCCCTTCAAATAATTGCCATGATGGAAGTTCAGGAGATACAGATTTGGAGAAAGGTTCGAAAGGAGATATTGACTGCAGTAAACAGATAAATCAAAGTGAACAAGATGCTGCAAATGCACAAGTACATTCGACAGCAAATCATGGAGCTAATACTGAGATTTCAAGACATCCCGAGTTTTCTTCTGACGGTTTGTGTGCTGTTGAATGGGCTGGTGACGTACTTCAAGTTGTGGATGAGAAAGAGTTTTACCAGTCTTGTTACATCAATGGCATAACTTATAAAGTTCATGATCATGCTCTTGTTCATTTTGGCCAGGATAAACTGATACCGTCTAAGCTTCAGGTAAGCCTGTTCAAAAGAATTTATATGATGAGCCTGATAGTGCCCATGTCCTGTAAAAACAGGCTTCATAAGTTTGGATCTTCACTGCAGGCAATGTGGGAGGATGCTAAAACCAGGATAAAGTGGGTGGTTGTCAAAAGGTGCTACTTTCCTAATGATTTGCCGGAGGGTGTTGTCCATCCATGTGCTCCCGAAACGAGTGAGGTAATCTTTCATGCATGATTAAGTTGACCGTTTTCTTACTAATGTTCTCTGTTGTCTACTTCTTGTCTGTCATAGTAGCAAGTAAAATCTGATGGCTTGCCAATCGTTCCTTCTGCTATTCTTTGTAGGTTTATGAATCTATTAATGGTAGCACTGTAATGGCAACCTCGATTCAACGCCCATGTGAAGTTCTCCCTGCTGCTAAATTCAAAGAAGAAAGTGAAAGGCGAAGTCAGTTAGGAATTGAAGCAACCGAAGGATTAAGGGCAATTTTCTTATGCAAGTACGTGTTTTCATTCGATAAATTTATCATGTAATAAGCACATGAAGAATCGGATTTTGTTTAATACTGGAACTTATTCTGCAGACGGCTTTATGATGAATTCCAAGGAAGCTTTCGGCCTATATCAAGTTAACACAGTTATGCATCTTTTTTACTTAGCATGCCTTGACTAGTTGCCATGGCAAATGATATCAGTACTCAGGTCAGGTAAACATACTATCGATATCACGATTTTGTTTGCGGTTTTCTAATAATGCCCGGAACCGAATTTTCCCAAGACATTAACCGGAATTGTAACTGTTTATGTCGAACACAGGTATAGAAAGCTTGCAGCTTGGACCTGTTGCACATCTGATGATGATGATTGTTATTTGCCTTGTGTATTATATGTAGTCTTTGTCCTAGAGCTACTTGTGTATCCATTGTTCGACTAGAAATTTAAGTTCATTTCTTCATACATTTCCAAATTGTTTAAACAATCATAAATCAATCTGTTTCAGCTTTTATAACATTGTTCAACCTTTTCTTTTATATGAAATTATTTATGGAAAACGAGTGTTGTTCTCCTTAATGGTCTACTGTTAGAATAGTTGTGTCTATAAGGTAGAAGATATTTCTTACAGAACATGTCTTTATCAACATAACAATATAAATATTTGTTCGAGAATTAATCATCAATGTGTATTATTTTAATAATTAATTATTTGTTGTATATATTTGGGTAAAATTGTCGTTTATAATTGGATGACATGAGTTGTATTTTACCCTAATGTTTATAATGCAAATTCAGCGGTAGATCAATGGATCATAATGCAGTTCTTTTGGAACTGAGTTCTGCAAATTCTTGGGTAAGATAACAACAGAAACCCAGATCTGATGCCAATTAAGAAAAGGTCCAAAGCTTGAAGATGAAAGAACTCCAGATCTGATAACACTAAGAAATCATCATTTACTACAAAGATCAATCGTGAAAGTGAAAGCAATCGCTTCTTTAGGGATTGAATTAGACAAATTGTTTATACAAAATGAAAGATCTTTCAGATCATCAGAGTTGAGATATGATAATCAAAAACCCTAAATCACCATCATGTTTCCAGCGACAAAGATCTATCATTTGATAAATCGCAAAAAGGATACTTTAAGATCGACTAACTGATCAGAGACATAGAGTGAGATCGTCGAGTTCATCCAACGGTGGAAAATTGAGATCGAAAGGCAAGGTTTTCCGGCAAGACGACGATGCCATACCATCCCCGTCATCGACAACTGACGACGATGAATCACAGTCACTGTGACAATCGTCCGGCACCACTGGCGGTGCGCACTTCCGAGTCGTAACCGCCGTCGGTTTCTGCTGTGGTTGGGCTGGTCTCGGCCCACCAAAAGACTCCACCGTGCTACTCATGCTACTCCTCGCCGGTCTTTGCGGATTCACTTCCGGATCTTTACAATCAGCCCCTGACGGATATATCAGGTGGCCGTCGATGAAGGCTTCATTGTTGCTGTGATGAAAAGGTGGGAGGTCCAAGGAACTTAAGGCGAAATTCGTTTTCGCTTTGTTTCCACGGAGGGAAATCGCCGCCGCATCGTAGGCTCGAGCGGCTTCTTCGGCAGAATTGAAGGTCCCTAGCCAAACCCTGGTTTTTTTCCATGGATCTCTGATCTCCGCCGCGAATTTTCCCCATGGTCTTTTCCTAACACCTCTGTATCTTTGTTCTTTTACAGATCCGTTGGGTTCCACCGCCAGTTTCATCGCTACGTCGGCTCTTCTCCCTTTCCGCATCGGAAAATGATCGGAACTTAAAATCCACCCGATTCTCTCAAAGGGGTTATCCAGAAACAGAGTTTAACTTCAAAGATCGAAAAAACAAAAAAAGGAAAATTATTATATCCATACAAAGAGATTGAACAAAAGCTTAAAGATTAGGAATTAAAAAGGTGTAAACTCACCAAATCTACATACCCGAAATCAATATAATTAAAAAAAAACCGGAGAGCAAAAAATAAAAAAGAAAATGTAAATTTTAAGGAAAGAAAGAAAAAGGGCGATGAGATGATAGGTGAGAACACAACCTTCTCTTCTGCACGAATTATATTAATTTCATCTGTACGATCTATTTATTTATTTATTTTAATTTTATTTCATGAATTTTAATACACTTTAACTCTTTTGAAATTAATATATTAAAAAATAATTATGTGGGTTTTTAAATTTTATTATATATCATATGTTGTTATAATGTATTAAAATAATTAATAATTTGTATATTAAAATACTTGAACAAATATTTTTAGGCTTAATATAAAAATATGTACTTAAACTATACCATTTTTTATAAAGTAGTGCCTAAACTTTTTTTATTTTTTTAAAAATATTAAAAATCTCCTCCAAACTTTGAAATCCCTAAATCTAATCCCTTTACCCACGCCTGTTGTCTCTTGTCGTTGTCGTTTCCGTCTCGCGCCTTGATCGACGACCACTAACCTGATGAACAATCACCATAATAATAATCAAAGAACCCTAAATCACAACGAACAACTAACACGCTGAACCTAAATCAGGATTAGTTGGGTACTCGACTAGTTGCGAAAATAAGGAGGTTTTGATCATAGATGGTTGGTCGGTCACACGTCGTTGGGTGGTTGGTCGATTGATGGCGGCGGTGGTGATCAACTGTGGCAAAAGATTGAAATTAAGATTTCGAAAGTTTTGGTTTTTTTTTTGTAGTTTTATAAAATTTGGGTTTATTTCTTTTAAAATTTAAAATTTTAAGTTTTTAATTTAAATAAAATTTTAAAATGTTATAAAAGTGACATATATCCTTTAACGGTTGTTACAGTCCGAACACCTAAAATGATAACGTTCGTAACGTTAGGTACCTAGATTGACCGGAAGAAAGTTTGAACACCACTTTAAGAAAAAATAATATAGTTTAGACACTTACTTTTATATTAAGTCATACTTTTATGTGTGAAAAATGTATACAAAATTAAAGATTCGATATAATATATAGTTAAATATATATATATATATATATATATATATATATATATCATATTTAAATTTAAACAAAAAATTAATTCTCTAGTAATAGTAATCAATGAGTTTAAAAAATTTAATAATCTTGAGCTCATTTCTCAATTATTTGAACTAAATACATCAAGAAAAACATGTTTATATCGCCGTTTGGTATATTTTCTTATATCTTATTTTATGATAAATATTATATAAAAATAAAAATACAGTTTTTTAAACTAAATATTATAAAATTAATACACATCTAATAGATAGGATCGATCCTATAAGAAAGAAGAAGAATCAAACTATAGCAGATTTTTGCAGGGAACGAAGCAAACGGTAAGCAGCAGAGTTGCGGGCATCTCGCGGAGTAGATTTTTCATCACCTTCTTGCCGGAGCACACCGTCGTCGGTTTCAATTTCAACGGAATACTTCATCGTGGTTTCATGTCGGGAACATCCTTCTTTCGCAAGGCTACGAGAAAAACCCAATGCCGAAGGTACAAATGATTATCAAATTCACTAGAGATATTCAATTGATTCATATATCATACGTGCAAAAAGATGGGTCATACTATGTATAAATGGGGTTTCCCCATTTTTTCCTGCCGCATAGTCTATACAACTCATCTTGTGCTCCATTAATAATCTCACGAGATTCGAAGTCCTTCGGCACCTTAATTTCATCCACCATTAATACATCTTTAAAGATCTGCTCAAGTATCCAACTGTTAATAATTTAATTTTATCATCTTTACATTAAATTATAAGAAAAATATTTAAATTTTGATTATCATGAATTCATTGAATGTTAGAGGATTTGAGTTAAAACAACTTTATACGAAGGTGTATACTCCATCTCAGACTGTTTAAAAGTTATTCGATCATTGTAAAATAAGAAATAAATAAAATAAATACCATCCATAGTTTCGTTGAATCGAAATTGAGATCCACGTAGACAGCACCGGCTAGAGCTTCGACAACGTCGGCCAAAATGTTTGGACTCATGACCTTTGAAAGCAAACAATAACCAATCATTTATGAAAATATATTTTTTATTTTTAAATTTTCGTAAAATATGAGAACTAATTGAAAATTCATGAGAGAGAAACAGAGGTTCTCCGTACATTACGGCTCCTGATGTACCGGTAAAGCCCAAGCCTAGCTGCCACGTGCGTCAGTCTCTCGTTGCACACACTCTCTTTTCGGCGCTGAGTGAGCTGGTCGGGGTTCAGCTTCGGCTCCGAGCGGAAGAAATGGATCGCAACCGTCAAGCCCAACGCCGCATCGCCGAGGAACTCGAGCCGGTCATACGAAATGATTTCGCGGCATGAAGAGTGCGTCAGAGCTTCCTCGAGGAGTCTTTTGTCTTTGAACGTGTAGTTGAGGATCTCCTCCACAGCGGCGATCGTCGACGGCTCTAAGCTAGAGGCCGCGGCGAATGAAGAAGAAGAAATGTATTTCTTGACGTGATTAAGGTAAAACGAGCGACAGCAACGCCAGAAGATGTGCAAAACCAAAGCTAGGACCACCGTGGCAACAACCACTTCGAGAGCAGACGCCATTTTGACGTCGTCGGAAACGCCGTGGTCGAGCTGGGTGAAGTGGTGTTTCATGGTGGAAGTACTGTGATCGAATAATTAGAATTTGCTTAGACGTGAAGCGATCCAATACTTCAGTACAAGTAAAGTTGTAGTGGAAAATAAAGTCTCTAATGACAGAGAAATTTTTGTCTCCTTTGAGATTGACTTTATTTAAAGCTTAGGCCACGTTTCATATTTCTTTCGGTTGGTTTAAAGATAGAGAAAGAATTAACCAGTTTTAACCTTGGGTAAACTAATTTTTGATCCTTCATTTTTCTTTTTTTATGTTTTAATAATTAAATTTTAAAATATTTTAATTGTATTACTAAATTTATAATTTCACTCTTTTTATCGCTCGATCATCAAGTATTTAACCTCACCCACACACTGCATTTTGGGTTTTAATTTCTTACACTTTCCTAAAATTTTAACTTCTTTTTTATTACTAAAATCCTTCTCTACCATCATTTTCAACGTAAATAGACTTGCCCACGTATAGTTAGGAGTGTATAAACTTTGATACAAACCGATCGAATTACTCTAAATTAGTTTTCTTAATTTGATTTGATCTATTATTTATTACTGAATATATATTTAGATTTAAGCACGAATCAAGCGAAATTTGTCGTTAAAGAGATAATTGTTATTTCTAAAGGTCTCAAGTTCGAGTATAATATTTATAATGATATTTAAACGTTCATTTTCAAATGATTAAGAATTTTTAAACAATACTACTTTATAATCATCTTAATACTATTAAAAAATTAATTAAATCCAAACCAATAGTATTTTTCTTTTTCGCTCAGCAAAGGACAATTTATTAAAGTAAATAAAGAGTCGAAGTTCAACTTATGAGCCTCATTAAAAACCTCCCTAATCTAATTGGAGGAAAATAGTACTACATAAGAGAACAATACAAACACAACGAACCAAAAACAGAAACTAGATACTCAAGTAACCCACCCCCTACAAAATCAACTCTTGACCATCTAAAAGAAGCAAAACATTACAACCATCAAAACACTCAAAGGTAAAAAACAGAAAAACAATTCCAATCGGCAGTTCAACACTCGACACCAGCAAACTCATACCGAGGCACAAAAGCATTTCCACACACTCCAGAGTGGGCCACCAGAATAATTCTCGAAGAAGATTACGCTACCACAAAAAATACTATGGAATCCAAACAAGGTCCTTCATGATTCTGACGGTTTGTATGATTTGACCAAGTTACTCTTTCCGACGGTCTGTATGATTATGACCAAGGGTGAACTTCAGGAAAACTTCATTTAAATACGACCAGTTATGCTCCTTCATGATACTGTATAATTCGTCATCATCAATCTCTACTAAGAAATCTCTCCCTCCCAGAAATTTGGTCTTAATTTACCTAGGCCTCTGTGCGTAACCTATCTTCCACCTGACTCGAAAACAAACTGTCGCCATCGATCCTACCAGGCATTAAAAATTAAAAATGTTGACATTGATAAAGAAAAACAAACTTAGGTAGAACATAATAAATAAGCCTAATCCCTAGGACCATCGTTTCCGTGTTTTCTTAGTGTAATTTTATGGTCTTTTATGTTTTTATTATTTTCAAAAATAATATACACTAATAAATATACCTATATATTACGTATTAACAAATATATAAAAATATACTAATAAAGGGAAATGATTCATTAATACATGAAAAAATATATGATAATACAAGAAAAGTAAAAAATAAGAGTAAACTAATCATATAAATCGAGCCATTCTTTCAAAATTATTGAAGTACACAAACTAGTCACTTAAGAATAAAATTAGAACATACAAATAGCTAGTTAAATAATCAATTAAGTAACTCGAACAAATGATAGATACAAACAAACATCATTGTCGCCAGGTTTGATCCGATGTGCTCATAAGAGCTTCTTCCCCCACGCAATTGTGAAGGATCTTTTGCCTGACCCTGAAAAGCTTGCAGGGTTTGCTGTCAAACTGAGTCCCATCTTGATAGCTAGGTTTCCTCGCAACTGATCAATTAAGTCAACAAGTTTGAAGGTTCTATGGTTTGGGCACCGTTTACATAATCTTAGTATTTTGTTTTCTCGACTGAAATAAAAAAGAATGTATCCATGGTGATCATTCAACTGTAATAAAAGAAGAATGTATACATGCATACATTAGCATACATTCATATACGAAAATATACGTGCGTGCATGCATAAGACATGCAATTCTTTTAAACATTGTGAAATGGACTCCGAAACTTTATTCATTTATTTTGTGCGAAAAACTCTAATTTTGAATTGTCTTTTATTTTTCGATGATGAAGTATTATCCTTCAAATTTTAATGGTGAAGAGGTGGAGAAGGAGAAGCAAGTTGTGTATCTTGATTTCATGTTGATCAGCTGGTGTATATTATATATTGGAGTACTAGTTTGAAATTTTATGAGTTTTGGATTTAGGGTTGAGTTTTATGAGTTTTAAATTAATTTAGGTAAAATTTAAAGTGATAAAGTGATACGAGATAATTAATAATAATTTCGACGTGGCATGTGGATAAAATTCTAAAACTTTCATATTTGGAGGAAGAACATAAAATATAAAAATGATGTGAATGACACATGAATTTAATGTCAATAAAAAGCAATCCACATCAACATATGTGGCTGGCATAGTGGCATATCATACTTTCATTTATAATTTAACCCCGAGTGATTAAATAAAGTAGAAGCAATTCAAGGGTGCAATGAGTAAATTAAAATCTTTTAAACTTTAGTAATTAAAATAGATAGGGGTGAGCAAAACTCGACTCGATTAGAAAAATATTTTTTTTTCAATTTCGAGTTATTCGAGTCAATTTGAATTATTAATTCGATTTTTGAGTTTGAGTCGAGTTGGAATTTGGAAATTTTGAGTTACTCGAAAAATCAAAAAATTGACTGACTAGTTTTTACAGTTTTGCGATTTAGTCATTGATTTCATTATTCCTTCAATTCTTCCTTCATTTTTTAAGTCATTTTTTTACCAAATTTGAACCACATGCTCCTAAACCATCATAAAATACATATGTTCTTTCAATTCATCTTTTTGATAACAATTTTTTATTTTTCAATTTAATCCTTCAATTTTTCATGATTTCTTTATTTATTCAATTCATCCTTCATTTTTAATCCAATTTTTTTTAACAAATTTGAACCACATGCTCCTATACCACTATAGAATACCTATGTAACTTCAATTTTTATTTTTTACTGAAAATATTCTCTCTCTTTTTATTTAGTCCCTTAACTTTACATTTTACTCAATTTGGTCTTTTGATTGCAATTGTTTGCAAATTATTTCTTCCCATCTATTCATTGACTCTTTTATACTCTCACCAATACTTTACCCTTAAAATATCTTCTTTAAAATAAAATATTGTAAATATATTGTATAATTTTAGATTGTTTTTCATATATTAAATAACATTATATTGTTTAAAGAATATGAAGAAATATATATATATATATATATATATATATATATATATATATATATATATATATATATATATATATATATATATATATCTTATATGGTTATAGAAAATCGAAAAATTGCAATCAAATCTTACCATAATACTATAAATAATTATAATAAATTTGTATAGAAACTCGAATAACTTGACTTAAATTTCTTAAACTCGACTCAACTTGAAAAAATTTCAAGTTAAGTTCCAGTCACAAAATATGATTTATCAACTTGAATAACTTAAATTTTTTGTCTAGACTCGATTGTTTCAAACACTCAACCCTAAAAATAAGAGTAAAAAGAAAACTGAATGATAAATTTATAAATTATCCGGGGGGAAATACGCATGCATTAGCCAAGATACGTACCACTATGCATGGGGCATGGCCTCCATTATGCTACGAAGAACCAACGTATATTACTGAGCAAGAATGGATTGAAGTGTGTTGGGACAGTATTTTATTTTATGTTAATAATTTAGTTTTATATTTTTAAAATTTTAATATAACTTTTATTTTTTTTTTAAAAAACATATTTTAACGTAAAATTTTATATTCATTATTACAAGAGTTTCAACTGGTGAAACTTTGAAAATACGAATTCTGAATTAAAGTCTATCTTCTCGAAATAATAAGAATGGGCAATTAAAATTATAAAAAGTTGAATTCATTAAAATCGTGGATCCAATGAGAAATCAAGCAAGACAAACTGAAACCTAAAACTTGAATTTATCAAATGAAAAATTAAATAAGAAAAAAATGAAAATATTTAAATTTAATTACTATTTATTGAACATTTATTGTTTTCTGCTGTCAAAACATATGTTTCATATTTTTTTGTAAATGAAAATACATTTAAGAAACGTTTTTATCCATTTAATAAATTCAAACCAATGTCAATTGAACACATCTAGTATATTTTTCATATTTTTTGTAAATGAAAATATCATCGGATTTTATAGTAGCACGATATAATTCAAAATTTACACCTAATTGAACACATCTTGTAACATCCTTACCGGGTTAGTGATCAAATTGTGAAATTATAAAATTCAGTGACCAAAGTAGATAAATTGAATAGTTAAAGATTTAATGGGAATGTTTTGTGTAGGATCAATTAACAAAGAAGGAGAAACTAAAGGGGTAAAGGAGTCTTTTAATAGGGGAAATAATTAAATATTAGATGAGGATATTTAAATCCACGTGGAAGGCAAATGAAGAGAACAAAAGTTTCCATATTTCTCTTCTTCTTCACTTCTTCTTCTCCATCGAGAGACCAAGCTAAAGGTGAGTTTTCTTGTTGATTAAATTCTTGATGAATTTAAGGTTTCTTATTGATCCTTAGTTGATAACTAAGCTTAAGGAAAGCTTAGATTATCTTAAAACCATAAGATGAGGAGAATATGAAGAATCAAAGAAAGGAAGTAGAAAAGTGAAATCTTGGATTAGAGTTCCTAATAAGAATTAGAAGTGGGATTTGACTTGTCATAAAGCTAACTAAGAAGTATGAGGTGTTAGAATTCAAATTAGAACATGTTGAAATTTGGGTTAGATTCTTAAATTCTACATGGAGAATTGAATTTTTAAGTTTCAAAAG